TCCGAACCCATGGCGGGAGCGTCGCTGCGCTCCCAGCACCGCACTCTCCCGAGTGCGCCACAGGGTCGGCCCATTCTCTGAATTTTTGTTTCAGGTGTGTTGTGCGTGTGTATGAGTGTGAGTGTGTATGTGTATGAGACGTGGAGAGAAAAAGAGGCTTTTCTACCTCACTTTGCAACCTGAAGTTGCAAATCTCATCCTTTGGCTTTCACTTCAGACATATCTTTTTGTTTGTTTGTTTTCTTTTTTTAAAAATTTTTTTAAAATTTTTGTTCTTTTTCTTTTTTACTTCTTTTTTCCAGAAATATCTTAAATGTAGAGTTTCTTCTTTCCCACACTGTCCCCTTAGACAAAGCCTTAGACAACTACAACAATAACACCACCACGAACTTCTTATAAACCTCTGGTGACTCCCTGGCCTGCCTGCAGAATAACTACCAAATTTCTCACATCGGCATTTGGGGATCTTCACGAAATGGTACTTATGGGGTTTACCTTTGCTGAGACCCTAGGCTCTGGTCACACTGTACTGCTCTCTCACCATCGTCCAGAAAGGCCTGGACTTCATGGGCAAACTCTTATCTCCAGACCTCTTGCAAAAGGCCAGTTCCAGTAGAAGCTGAGGGTAGCATACTGGACATTGATTCAACAACCCTTTTCCCCACAGCTCTGCAGCCACACCTGTCAGTCAAGTCTTGCTAGAGATCTGGGTCTGCCATTTCCACTGAGCTCTTCGGGCCAGGCTTCCTGCCTCATGTTTTACACTTAATTGGAGGCGGAGACTGTGTCTCTTTATCTGAGGGAAGGGAGGGTGGTGTTGAAATAATGAAATCAGAGGCAAAATAAAGTTGAGGACACCAGCCATGAGAGTGGCCTGATTTTGGCCAAGCAAATATCACGTTTGACATCCTTATTACCACAAACTTGAGGGTCTTCTATAAAGCTTTAGGGACTTCAGGGAAGTGGCTTCAATCACAGACAGCCCACGTGCCTTGTGGATTACAGTTTATTAAATTGCATTTGCCTAAGCAACTGATCTAACCTGCCAGCTCTGCATTTGCCTAAATAAGGTATACCGTTAAGTTTTTAGGCAATTCTATAAGCATCTTCTAACTCTGCAATGAGACAGCTAAGAGATCTGTGTTATTTCCGTAACACATATAAATAATTTTTAATAAAAATTAGGGCATGAATACTTATTTTCCCCACCGATTGGAAGCCACCCATTTGGAAGACCACTCAGAAGAGATGAGATCAGTATCTTGCTGAAAATTACTTTTAAATTTACAAGGAAAAGACGAAGTTTTGTTCTTCCCCTTGAATTTGGCTGCAAATCGACGGCTTTCTCAAATCGTTTTGGTATGCAGGGTCATTTTTCACTGAAAGACAAAAAGACATGTGAAGTGTGAATCTCCAAGAACCATCCGGCAATGAAATTTGCGCGATTCTATATAGAGGAGTTTCGTAGGTTTCAACTTTTGGGGGTAAAACAAACACAAATGCTCCTCCTCCGAGAGGCGGGGGCGGTGCCTGCGTGATGCACCAATCACAGCGCGCCCTGCCCTATATAAGGCCGTGAGGCCCCACGCCATTTTACGCTTGTGGCTGGTTACCCCGTTTTCGTTGTTTATGTTGCTATGTCTGAAACGGCACCTGAAGCCCTAGCTAATCCTGTTCCAACCAACACTATGGAGAAGTTTCCAGTGAAGAAACGCGGGAAGAAACTGGTGGATTTGACGGGGACAAGTCGCAAGGCCCCGAGGGCCCCCGTGTCCAAGTTGATCATTGAGGCCCTTTCGATGTCGGAAGAGCGAGCAGGCATGTCGCTGGTCGCACTCAAAAAGGCGCTGGTGGCTGCCGGGTATGACGTGGAGAAGAACAACAGCCGCATCAAGCTGGGCCTCAAAAGCTTGGTAAGCAAGGGAGTCCTGGTTCAGACCAGGGGCACTGGTGCTTCCGGCTCCTTCAAGCTCAGCAAGAAGGTCTCTCTTGCACCAACCAAGGGCAAGGTTAGAAAGCCTGGCTCTGCTAAGACAAAGAAGGTGGTCTTACCCAGGGGTTCAAAATCGCCAAAGAGTGGCAAGACTAAGAAAAGAGCTGGGAAGTCAAGGGCACCAGCAGCTAAGAAAGTTGCAAGGAGCGGGAGAAAGACTAAAGGAGCCAACGCCAGGCAAAAGCGTAAGAGTCCAGTGAAGGCGAGGGCAGGAAAGCCTAAGGCCGGGAAGCCGAAGTTGACCCAGCAGAAAACTAACCCTAAGAAGAGGTCTACTAAGAAGTGAGCAGCTTTCTGAGAAGCTATTTCTCAAAGAACCCAAAGGCTCTTTTAAGAGCCACCCAAATGACCTTAAAAGGGCGCGACTAAGGCA